GAAAGGAGATCCAGGAGGGCGATGACGAAGCGACGAAGCGCGCCAAGGTCGAGGCTCAGATCGCCAGGTACGGCCGGGGCGGGCACACGACCTGGGAATGGACCGATGACGGCGTCGTGCTAACCCACAGGCTTCCCGCAATCCGCACGCAGCCGGGCACCGATCTGCCGACGCTTTTCACCGGGCTTGCCGCGTACTGGAAGAATGCCCAGGTCAACGGGGCCAGGACGAACCCGACGCAGCAGCTCTTCGGGGACGGCACGCCTATCCCTGAGGAGTACCTCAAACGCCTGGCGAAGATCACGGACGAGATCCGCGTGCTGCATAAATGGCAGCGCGGCGATGTGTTGGTGTACGATAATATCATTGCGCAGCATGGACGCCAGCCGTGGGAAGGCGAGCAATCTGACCGGGTCGTTATGGCGAGCTTGTTCGACGGAGATCAAGTCCCCGGCGCGTATATATCGGAAGGTTGGGCTCAAGTCGTCCAGGCGCTTGATGGGTAGATAGTAGGTGGTTTGGGTGAGTTGCGTGGCCTACACATCCCTTTTAAGTACCTAGGTGATGGATTTGATAAGTTTTTGGGAGCCCCCTTTTCCAGGTTTTGGGTACGGATAATCCTAGTGAGTAAATCCAATTGCCCGACAACTTGCTTTCTAAACACGGGCCATTAATCACCTTGCAATCGCTAGGTATATCCATCGATTTTCCAGCCCCCGTAGATTCTAGGAATCTGAGTTGAGCCACTCGTCAACCCAAACTCCAGCGACAAGTATCCATGAATAGGGGTGAGGTAGGAAAAACTCTTGGAAGCCAATCGAGTTGCTAAAACGACTTCTCCTGCTACCTTTCGATCTCACTTGGGTGCTTTGAAATACCATGCCACGCATCTTCGATAGTATCGTCGTCGAGATCCCTGCTGTTGATCACAGTTCGAATTTATCCGGTTCCTTTACCCGCATGGCGACCCTTTCATTGGATGCGCCGCATGCTAGTCGATGACACATTGAGGGATTTCAAAGCTTCTTTTGAGAGCCTTAATCCAACATCTAACCTAGATACAGTTGTAAGATGCACCCCTTTCTGCTTGTTCATGCGTGATGCCGCCCTACCGCAGAGCTCTCGCAACAATATGCGTTTTCGCTCCTCTCGTATATATCTATTGGTGGAGGTTCACGGCCATCGACACATCAGGCAGCCGTAGTGGCTTGTCCGTCGGAGAAGACGTGCTGAATAGGACGCTTGGTGTAAGGGCCCCTTTAATTCTATCGGGTCACAATCTGACTCCATCCAAAGTTCTCGAAGATATTCGTCATCAATCTGCCGTCTAGGTCAGACCGCCGAGATTCGATGGCTCGAGCCGGCGCAGTCAGCAACCTGACTTTCACCTGGATCGATGGCGTGGCGGCGGACCAAGCGCCAGACCGTGTCGCGCCTGTTAGCAAAGGAGGGCGCTCTTCTGGCGCCAAGGCTTCCTGGATATCTCACATGAACGCGTTGCGCGTCGTTGTGAGAGAAAATCTACGGAGCGCGCTTATCATGGAGGACGATGTCGACTGGGATGTACGCATAAAATCACAGCTCCAGACGTTCGCATCAGCTTCTAGGACTTGGCTAAAAGCGTCCGAGTCTGATACGCGCCAGAAAGAGCTGCTCGACTTCGTCCCGCCCTCGCTTCTTATGAAGAGAGCCGCAGCGAATGTCTTGGTGGGGGATCCCGCGAAGGACACGATACGACTAGATTCCGCGGCAGAAGTCGATAGCAAAGTTCATCAGACTGTGTACGGAGACAATTGGGATGTTCTATGGCTAGGCCACTGTGGCGCTGATTTCCCTTCCGATCAGTCTCCCGTTCCACCCCTACGAATCGCGATTATGGACGACGAGACGGTCCCGGCTCCAAAGCATCTCAAACCTCACCCATTTGCCCTACAGGACAAGCTTGGCGAAGTATATCCCCCACATACCCGTGTAATCCACGCGTCGAGCGGGAACGTCTGCAGCTTAGCCTACGCCGTCACTTATCACGGAGCTCGCAAACTGCTCTCGGAATTCGGCGACCGCTACGACACCCAGTGGGACTTGATGCTGCAGAAATGGTGCGAGGGGAAATACGCGACCGAGAACAAATCTCAATTAGATTCAGATTCAGAAGCAAAAGCAGACGCCGAGCTTCGGGGGACTGCTCCGGTTTGCGTTACGGTGCAGCCGCCGCTGTTTAGTCACTACTACGCCGAGGGCGGCAGTTCCGATATTCTGAGCCAGGGCGGCGGCTACGCGAAGGGCACGGGGTCGCCATATATCAGACTGAGTGTACGAGGCAACTTGGAGCGGTTAGCCTCTGGAGCGCCGGAGAGTGAGTTGGTTGATCAGCTGCCGGACGACGGGCAGACCATATGGAAATAAATGAGATTCTTGGGTTAAGGAAGGGAAAGTCGCTGATGTAAACTTGAGTGAGTGCGTTTTAAGTGAAAACCTCATGGAGTAAACAAGACCAAATATACAAGTTAATGAGGATCACGTCCGGCATGAAATTGAAAAATTTGCCGTAGTTTTGATGTCCAAGTCAGTTCATGCATGCAGCATGAATTAAGGGGGGAGACATACCTAGGTTGATAACTAGCGCAACCCATGCCAAACCACTATCAAACCGATCTATGAAGTCGGATCATTTTGCGCAATGTCATTCATATCTGGTTAGAATATATGCTAATGAATATTCGATTTTGGTAGAAATAGAAACGATTGATCGTTAGAGCTTGCTGACCCCTATTTTGCTAGTACCATCCATACATGCATGTCACCAATGAAGAAAATCTGTAGAAGTAAGAAGTACGTACATACGCACTTAAAAATAGAAAATAGGGCAAAAGGAATAAATTGGAAAAAGGTATTGGATGGACTGCAGGTAGACCTTGTCTATCCAACATGGACAAGCAGGGAATCGAACCCTGGACCTCTCGTATGCTAAACGAGTATTATACCACTAAACTACATGCCCGTTTTCATATTGGTTGTTACACTGTCAAGTGGGCTTATGAGTACACTCGTTGCGCGGCAGGAAGGAGGGGGATATATCTGAAGGAAAGAGCGAAGCGCAAGGTGGTGGGTGGGTGCCGTGCGGACCTTCCAAGGTTCCTCCGTATCATGCAATTTTCACACCTCATGACGACTAGTCGAGAACTCAACATCAATATGTCACCCATGTGGAATTAAGCGAGCGTTAACTAATGAATTCGTAAAAGCCTACTAGGACACGTTGTACGAGGATACACTCTGGCTCCTCCTTCGAAGGCAACTGCCGTCGGTTTCTCTCATCTTAAAAAGCGCGTCCTCCTTTGTGTGCATCTAAGTCGATGGCAAGAAACTCCTAACGGTCAAGAAGCACAACTCCTGAGACCATCAATGGTCATGGCAACGTCCTTGTTCTGGCTGGTGAATATCTCCCTGGTGTCCCTGCTGGAGTCGATGACTCTCTGGCACCTCGGTCTCCTTACCGCGCCGTACGACTTGAACGCCGCGCCTATCTCGTCTGCAGCAGATATATCGGCAAGGAGTGCCCCGGTGATAACGGCATCTTCGAAGGGCCGTCTCGCATCGGCATCTTGCCATGGGTTGGGTTGGTCTAGTAGCAGCTATATGGGAATGAAGGTGCTGTGGAATTGAGACCCGGTGGCTTGCGCGGCAGAGGCAATGCTTTACATTGTGCAGCGCCAGGACCCCGTCGTCAGCCCGGAGACACTGCCTTGGGACATCGACGTTCCGCTCTCCAAGAGCGGCTTAGGCGTTGGCAATGGGGACTACGACTCTACTTTCCCACTATGGATTTGTAAGTTCCAGTCTATACACGGAGGACACGCAACAGGCAGATCATGTGAAGCACATGCCATTAGACTTGCCACTTACCCATCCTCTTGGCGAGGCGGCACGGTTCTCTGCCGCGTCTTACAAGACGTACTTTCGGACTGAACCAAAGACGCCGTCTGCACCTGTGACAGCATCACCCTGAGATGTTCCGCCGTCTAGAAGGGCGACTTCGACGGCATGGCTGGGTTAGTTCGTCTCGTTTCTAGATTAGAGTGCGAGACATGACACACCGAGGGCTAAATTAATGGGCACCGCGCCCGCTTTGGCGAGGGTCTCTCTCGTGCTGCCGGCAAGATATGCTGCAGCGCATTGCCGGAGAGCCCAACAGCTGCACTACGTTCTGAGAATTCCAAGGCCGACCCAAAAATACGTGCCTCGAGATGACCAACGCCGTGAAGGGCACTCGCCAGCGTTACCTTGGAGAAGCCACCGCCCACGATTGCTATACTGATAGCTACTGCAGCCATCCCGAGTTTACCAGTCGTAAGTAGTGAGAGAGGTAGAATCGCATGGACGAATTATTCAAAGCCGAAGAATAAAGTCTTGGTACGGTAGAGAATTGCCAGTGTAGCAAATGAGAACACAGTCTCCCAACAGTAGACGCCGAAGTAAGGGGGCCTTCCTGCGAGAAGGACACCAACTACATGAAAGCGAAACGTGCGACATCGAATATCAACTAACGGATTGATACCTGTATACTTGGGCACTATAGAACCGCTGAAGTATGGAGTAAACAATAATGAGCATTGCGCCGCATTGGATGGATGCCCTTGGATATTTGCGTTTTACACATATGTAAGTTTGAGAGCGCTTTGTGACGACGTATCTTAAAGCATCGGGTCGCCGCAGACGCCTCAACATAAAAACGGTTCCCGGGAACTTTTGATGCTTTCAGTCGATAGAACCTTGCCGCTTAATGAGCAAGTAACAAGAAGCGCATTATGGTGACACCACTTTTAACATGAAACCAACAATCCTTAGTACCTAAACAATTGATGAAAATAGAATGTCTATTGAGTAGGTAAGCAAGCATTGAAGTTTGAAAAGTAAGAGAGCGATCATCAAAAAAAGGTCAAGAATGAAAGAATTGTACCTAAGACAGGTCTACTGAAATGGACAAAAAGAATTGTTGTTGCCCCCAACTGGAATCGAACCAGTGATCTCATCATTAACCTAGTTAGTACTAGTGATGCGCTTTACCACTGAGCCATAGGGGCTAACGGAATCGAACACAACGTTGCAGCTGATTCCGCATGCCAAATTTTGGCCAAGATATGCATTAAGTAGCAAAATCATATTTCGCATAGCGTACCCACGCAAGTGTGAGCGTGGTCAATGCACGCATCCGCCATCCTAATTCAGTCAGTTCTTTAAGTTCTCTCAGTACCCGCAATCCAGTTCTAACCAAGTGAATCTACGAACAGATGGTCTGAAAATGCATCAACCAGATAGAAGCGCGACCGCCTGATCGCATCAATTAAAAAGACCGTACATGAGGATCATCTTGTTCGTCAAGCTGCCTATACGTAGCAGGCTTAACATCTGCTACTGTGTCCGTTTCGATGATGGTGGTTAGCTGATATCTAGCCCGTCGGCACCTTTTAGCAGGGGGCTACCATGATATGCGAGTGCGAATCATCTTGCCGTGTCGCTTCTGCGTGATCCCAAACAACCTGCCCCCGCTCAAGGATCTGGATCTACACTGTCACTGGGTTGCCGGCAACTCTTCATTATTAAACCACGGAGGCAGACAGCTGCTTTGAATATGGAGCTTGTCAGGCAGGCTCTATATATGCAATCTTTGTCGCCGATTGCCTATACGTGGCTCCGTTGGGCCAGTTGCCGTCGCTCCTAGTTTGTATCAAGAAACCCCCAACAAAGGCCTATATGCAGAGGTGGCCGATACTAAGGGACTGATGGTAGGGCTCTACTGATATGGGTTAGATTAGAAAAAGGGGCGGTTGAGCGACCGTGTCTTCTGAGGGGGCTTCATGAACTGATGCATCTCATTGTGTCTGTCAACGCGTCTTTATTGAGCTGCCTATAAATAAGAGATCAGAGCTTCGAAGCTAGCGCCTACAAGACATATATAGGTACCTAGGTAAGGAAGGCGGCATTCATGTGGCCAACACAGTACAGCGCTGGATCGAGGGCAATCACCTTCGGCAAGTCTTCCACGAATATGATCTCCGACGAAAACAAGGCTAAGCTGTAATCTATTAGGCTTACGGAGTCTAGTTATAGCGAGATTAACAAGAATTGCACACCCTCATACTCGTCTGTCTACAGTACCGACTAAGGAATTCATTCTCGTCAACGTCCCGTGCGAAATGCCTATCTCCAACCAAGGCTAAATATCCGCACGAGCAGACACATCTCGCCGATATACCTTAGATACCCAGGCACCTAGGCAGGCAAGATTCGTTTCCAACCGTCTCCCTACGAACCCGACATCCTCTTAAAGGCCATCAGCTCCTCCTCAGCCTGGGAATAGCGCTCCTCCGCTTTCTTGACAGCCTCCTCCTGCGTCTTGAGCGGCTGTTCGAGCTCGTTCACGGGGCGCATCCCCCGCGCTTCCCTGGCCGCCGACGCCGCGGCCGACGCGATCTGCTGCTCTGCGGCGCTCATGCTGTCCCTCAGCTTCTGAAGCTCCTTCTTCTCCTTCTCGAGCTTGTTCTTGGCCTCGTCTCGCTTCTTGGTCTTGGTTTCGAGCTCTTGCGCTTGGGCGTCTGTGGTGGTGGTGGGGTCTGACATCTCGTGGTTGGGTTGGTCAAGACCGTTCACCCTGTCTGGATGTTAGTTTGAGGTGGGTAAGGTGCTGGTAGCAAGCTGTGGATGCTGTGGTAACTCGAATGGCGGATGGATGCCTTGGGCGTTCTGGAGCTAAACGCGGTTTACTGTGTCGTGGTTAATAATCCGGTCATTGCTTGAAGAGATTCATATGCTTTATTAGGCCTTGCAGGTCAGAACCAGGACCACATCAGTCCCTTTCTTACTGTAATTCGTGTGACCTGGCGCAAGAACTCACAACTCGTTGTCGACGATGAGTCGTAGACTCAGATACTCCTGCCCACCTACCCATATTCAGCATTGTGTCATATCATATGATGGCAAATTTGCTCATGCTCGAAATCTATCAAGCCTTAAATGCTTTGAATTTAAACATGAGTTGGGAGTTTCATGCAGGACAAACACCGAAGTAATCGCTCATCACGTACGCAAACTGATGCCATTTGCTTGTAAGCCAAGGCAGGTAGCAAGACTTATCCTTTGAGTCCTCGAAGACAAGTCACGTCCTGCCTAATTCTCTTTCGCAAACCTCTTCTTGGGTAACCTTAGGTAGGTACCTATTAAATAGATCGAGCTGCTTTGAGAGATAAACCCCGTGCCCAGTTCAGTACCGAGTCAACACCAGGCATTCTCGCCTGCCACACTGCGTACCACGGGATAAGCTACCTAGGTGTATATGTGTCACTCCTACTCAGGCAGCCTAAGATGTTCACTCGGACCTGGACACGTATATTCTGACGCATTCAATTCAACCACGATGAAAAAAATAAGGTTCCGTGATTCAAGTCGTTGTCTATTCGTCTTCTAGCACCCAGCAGCTATACTGATAGGAAGCTCATTCTATCGTGCCGTTCATCCGTCCGTCTACATTAACGCCTGTATCAAACCATTTATGCATTGTCGCCTATAATGCTTATCTTCCAAGCACCCTCGATTCTATGGATGTAATGGCCTGAACTATGGGCAACCAAGCCCAAACCACAAAAGAGTGCCACGGAAACGCTTACTCAATCGTTCAACGAAATTCTCGAAAAGGAGCTAGGCTATTACTCCTCGTCATCCGTATCCGGCGGGTGCGGGGTGCCCTTGGGACTGTTGAGCCATTCGATATGGCGCAGTCTTCGCCGTACTTCCTGCTCCTTCAGTTCCTTCTTGGTCTTCTTCCTCTTCTTCTTAGCCTTGAACTTCAGAGGCGTGTTATCTTCGACGCCGCTGTTAACGGCACTGCTCACGGCGCTGCTGGCTGCCGTGCTGTTAACACCAGTGGTGATACCGCTCGTGAGGCCGCTCCCTGGCCTGCTATCTTCGAAGCGGTCAAGGGCAATCGCAGCGTTGCCTTTTAAGACCATACGCCCATCATTAATGTGCCACTGTTCATTAGCTAGGGCACCGACAAACTCTTCGTTGTGGGAAATCATGACCACGCCACCCTTGAAGTCGCGGATAGCCACGGCGAGACCACCAAGGGAGTCACGGTCCAAGAAGTTAGTAGGCTCGTCAAGCACAAGCAAATGTGGGTTGTTCCACATCGCGCCAGCAATGACGACCTTGACCTTCTGGCCTCCTGACAAGCTGCCAATCTCATTGTGGTTAGCAATCTCAGGGTCGAGGCCGAGATCCTCAAAATGCTTGGAGATGACTGCGGGTTGAAGCTCTCGGTAGCCAAGACCTTCACGGGACGCCTCGTGATCATCGAATTCCTGGACGAGCTTGTCGAAGCCCCATTCAATCAGGGTTTCCCGAGACACCTGCGAGTTGTACTTTGGCAGCCAGGCTCTCCATTTCCTATAATCTATTAGTACTAGCATATGCAAAGAGAATGTTGAAGGTCAACTTACACTTCGTATTGGAACGTTTTCTTGTATTTTTGGCGGCCGACAAGAGCCTCGATTTGTCGCTCGCCTTTTCCGTCATTAAGATTAATTCGCTTATCCATCTGTTCTCGGTCTTTGTCAGAGAGAATACGAGTCTGCTTTAGGAAGACCTCTCTGTCGTCTCCGTTGGCGTATCGCCATTGCAGGTACTGATTCGGCGTTTTCTCGAGATGCATTTCTACGTGTTCGAGAGCATGCTGCTTGATGTAGCCGATTCGCAAGTTGGGATGCTTCTCAACCTTTCCGCTAGTCGGAATTACTTCACCTGTCAACAGCTTGATCAAAGTCGACTTTCCAGCACCGTTGGGCCCGATCACGGCGACACGGGAGGAGAGAGACAGCTGACACGAAACATCGCTAAGCGACGGTTTGGGCGCGTTAGGGTACTGGTAGGAGACTCCAGTCATCCGAATAATGGCTCGCGTTTGAGACTTAACACCGGTTAAGATACCTGGAGGCGGGAACTTGAACTGAACATTGGAGGCGGAAAGAGTGTAGTAAGCCTTCGCTTCGGGGCGGACCTTGACAAAGTCTGAGAGGTTGCCCTTGAAGTGGCCTAGCTTTTTCCCGGGTTCGTAGTGGTAGATGTCAGTTGTCACATTATCTAGGAAGCTTGAGTCGTGAGACACGATCAAGCTGGTGATATCCGTGTGTGTCTTGAGGTAGTTTTCGAGCCATGCAATATTGGCGACATCCAAGTGATTGGTAGGTTCGTCAAGCAACAGAACGTCGGCTTTCTGAAGCATAGCTCGGGCAAGAGCGAGCTTCATCTTCCAACCTCCGGATAGAGAGCCAACCTTCTGAGCTTGTCTACCTTCAGGGCCTGCCGTGAAACCGAACTCAGCCAAAACCTCGGATATTCGCTCTCTGCCTTCGGATGCAATCGTTGGGTCTTTGACCATAAATTCCAGGATGCTAATATCGGCATCTTCTCCTTGGTTGTGTTCGACGTAACAAGTACGAAGTACGTCTTGTGGTGGGAAACCTTCCAACTTGCCACCAGCGATACTCTTCATCAGAGTGGACTTGCCGGCACCGTTGCGACCACAGAGACCATAGCGGTGTCCCTTCAATAGCCGAAGATTGGTGTGAGACAAAAGAAGCATACCACCATAGGCCAACGAGAAGTCTGCATTGACAATCTCGATCTCGCCGTCGTCTTCCTTCTCAGGTACACCATATTTGCGGTGATCCTCGGCAACGTAGTATTGATGAACGGCAGAAGCGACAGCATCACTAGCGCCAGGTTGGTGCATTATATCTTTCAGATAAGGCGCGATCCTAGCGGGAATGCGATCGACTTGTCGGTGGTTGGCATCCTCAGCTACCATCTCACAGATGTAAGGTCGGGCAATCTTGTAAAACTCCAAGTCGCCTGCGAGTCCTCCATTCTTCTTAATCTCAGAGTCGAGGATCTTAGCGACATCGTCTGCAGAAGTTCTCTCCACTACCGCTTTGTCGTTGCTCATAGCCTTATCCATGACATCGAGGGCTCTGGTGGCCAACTCACGCACCTCTGGTAGCGGCGCACGATCGACGACATTCTTGATACC